CTGTATGGTTGTGATTACACGCAATACAGGGAGCAGCTTTTCCCTCACCATTGTAACATGCTGCTTTTGCAAGGTTCCATGAAAAAGCTTCAGCTTTTTTGTTTTCCTTTTACGCCCCGAAGAAGATGTCAGGGTTCTGTTTCATTCCTCCTGACCGCCAGAGGCGGTGCTAAGCACTAGTGGATAATCGCTGCGCCAGCTAGATAGGTCGAGAAAAAAATACCAACAGAGTCACGTCATGACGTAGACCGAGATGCGAGGATATAAACCACAGCAGCTCGATGCCCAGCCTCTTTCGCTTTCTCGCTTATGATAGGTCGTTGATTAGTGCTGTCCCGTGCAGCTTACCTGAGTTGCGAGGATTCGCCCCCCCAAGCTGTGACAGCGTGCCCTGCATTGTCATCGGATATTTTGGATTCCCTCTCTTCATTACGTGAGTATACATTATTACATTGTTGTGTCAGTGAGACCCTGTGCTTCACGGTTCTATCCGGTGGCTGTTTTCGACCGCACTTAGGTAGCGTTTCCCCGCTGACCTATTTATCATTGATTTTGTCGCCTACTCACTGTCGTACAAGCTCTCCTTTGCCCCGCGGTACTATCCAAAGGCAGTTCTGATAATTCACACGTGATTCCTCTCTCTTATAAATCTTTTGGTTCTATCCGAAGATTTTATCAACGCCTGATCTTTCTGCTAGCGTGTGATATCAGTTTTGAGTTCCAATGGTGCTACCGAGGACGTGTTTTGACAGAGTCATGGCTCACATCTCTCATATCTCCGTCTCTCCACCGAGCTGCAAACTGTGCCTAAACGCACTTCTTCCCGACGATGGACACGATCGCTGCCCGTCATGTTTGGGGATTCAGCATCTGAAGGAAGCGTTGACTGATCTGTGTTTGCATTGTGCCATGCTGCCGCTGTCAGAAAGACAGCTTCGTCTTGCAGAGCTAGATCCTAACTCGTCTGCTAGCCTCGCACAGTCGTATTCAGCGCCACAGCGCGCTCAAAAACGTTGCACATCAGCAGCTGCTGGTGCTCCGCCGACCAAAAAGAAATCGTCACCGCAAATAGAAACTTCGCTATCGAAGACTGTTGCCACTCTCTCTTCAGAGATGGCAGAGTTGAAACGTCTTCTTCAGTCTTTACAACTCCCGGTGTCAGCCGTGCCCACTGAGAACAATTCAGTGAACGAGATTGATTTCTAACCCCCAAATACTATCAACTTAGACGTTCTATCTATGAGTGCATCTAATTCACATTTCCTTGATGAAGAGATGGTGGATCCTGCCATGCAGTCTGGCCCCCACAGGATGCTCTCTCCAGCCTGTCTGCTGCTGGTGGTTCAAGCGGTGGGTCTGTACATTCATATAGTGCAGGCCAATCTTCTCCTGATGACATTCTTTCGATTCTGCAGATGGCAGTGGCTCGTTTGGGTCTTGATAACTCTATTCAGCCTGCTCAAACTAATGTGTTCTTTAAGCAAAATGCTGATAATACGTTTACTATGCTTCCATGCAAAGACTTTGTGGCTGAATTCTCCAGTGCATTAACAGGCTCCAATGTGCCTAAGAGGAGGTCAAAGACAGCCCGCACTCTTGCCTCAATGGCTGAGGCTGACTCTATTGGAGTAGGTCAGGCACCTGAAATTGAACAGCCGGTGGCAGCATTGGTGGTTTCACCAGATGAAGCGCTTAGAGGCAATGTCCGCTGCCCAAGTGCCCAATGTAGTTGTAGGATTTGGAAATTTTGAGTTTATCTTTAAAGGACTGTGGAAGGGATCACTTGCCGTGGTGGGCTGGTCAGAACCCAGGAACTCCGTCAACAACAGTTCTTTCTTTGATGACTTTACTGTGCTATGGAGCATGTAATAGGTGTGGTCTGTACAAAGATAACAAATACAATAAAGTGAATAATAGCGCACACATATTACACCTGGATTTGGATCGGCTCGCATCTCTTCTCTCAAACTTTGCTGCGCAATCTTAAAATGGCGACAAGTCTTAAAAGGGCAACAAGTCTTAAAAGGGCCACGCACGCAAGCCGTTTGTACAGCCGCCCCCGAATTGTGATCAATTTGACACTTGAGAAGGTTGCGTATGTGTTACTGATGCTGCGTTGGGTGTATTGGGCTCCTCTGTAAGGTCGTCCGCTGGATTTTGAACTGAATCCACGTATCGCCAGGTGGTGGTGTTGGTAAGCTCGTGGATTTCAGCCACTCTGGTACCAACGAAAACTTTGAAATGGCAAGACTCTGACTGAATCCAAGATAGTACTGTAGTGGAGTCTGTCCAGAGAACTGCGTGGCGAAGTGGCAATGTTAACTCTTTCTGCAACTGGGTTTTTAGCTGTGCACCAATTACCGCAGCACAGAGCTCCAAGCGGGGTATTGACAGGACTCTTTTTGGTGCTACTCTAGAGCGTGCCAGTACGAATGACAGATGGATCTTACCCAGCTGATCTTCAGTGTGCAGGTAGGCGACTGCTCCATATGCACTCTCTGAAGCATCGCTGAACACATGAAGGTCTGTAATAGATCTCGTTTGATCTACTGAAGCTGGTACATATGATCTTGGGAAACTGATCTTGTGAAGAAACTGCAGCTCACTTTCCCCATTTGTTCCAGCTCTGGACTAAGGCTTGGGGAAGTTGGGTATCATCCCAGCTGTGCTGCTTGTTCCAAAGTTGTTGGACCAGTACCTTAGCCATCGTAGTATATGGGAGGATATATCCTAAGGGGTCGTACTGGCTTGCTAAAACTTTATAAATAATCCTCATGGTGGGAGCACCATGATCGCTGGGCCAGTGACGGTAAGTCAGGACATCTGCTGGGCAATTCCAACTAAGGCCCAATGTGGACTCCTGGACATCAGTCCTTTCATGGGCTAGCCAGAGTTCAAACCCATCCGATCTGGCTTCAGGTGGAAGATGGTTAATGACATTTGGCACATTGCTGGCCCATTGCCTCAATTCAAAGCCTCCTTCAGCTAATAGCCCCCTCAGCTTGTCAACCAATTGCTTAGCCTCCTCTGGTGATGGCAAGCTCTGCAATCAATTGTCAACGTAAAAGCATCGTTCTATGGAGAACCTCACATCATCGTCCGGTTGGCTATGGTCTCTTACGTGCCGCTGTAAGGCAAAGGTCGCACAGCAGGGGCTGCACATTGTCCTTAATGGCAGAACTTGCCATTCAAAGATATCAGGGGTCCCCTTTTCCTTGGAGTCACGCCAGATAAACCGAAAAAGGGGTCTATCTTCGGGAAGAAGGCGGACCTGGTGAAACATGCCCTGGATATCTGCACTGATGGCAACTGCATGCTCACAGAATCTGAGTAAGACCCCCTGGAGAGATGAACCCAAGGTGGGGCCAGCGAGGAGTGAATCATTTAAGCTGAGACCATTAAACTGAAAGGAGCAATCAAACACCACACGATTCTTGCTATTATGGCACACCATGTGATGTGGAATAAACCAGCACTCACCATCTCCTTCTCTTTCTTCTGGACTGAGCCTTCTGATTGCTCCTGACTGAACCAATTTCTGGATTTCGGAGGAATAAGCATCAGCTTGATGCGTTTCTCTGGCAAGTTTTCTCTCAGTACTTTGCAGGCGTGGCATGACTGCTTCCATAGTGGTGTGAAGATGGGGCATGTCTATTGAGGAGGCGTGCAACATGCGACCCACAATGCAACTCAATGCTCCCTGCCTGGCCTAAAGTCTTAAGCAGACCGACTAGAGACTGCACTTGAAGAGAGAACTTCTCAAAGGCTGAGGGGTCATTGCGGCTTATATCAAGTGAATCAAGAATAGTGGCAATCCGTCTTAATGCTACCTGGTGGGGCTGACCGAACCGCTCTTTGAGGGCCAACATGGTGTCTCGGTAAGGTGTATGGGAGTGCAAGAAGGAGTCTGCTATTAGACAAGCATCGTCTAATTTCAGTTGGTCAACCAGTACTTGATATTTGAACATCTCAGTACTATCAGGTGGCAGAAGATTGTCCAAGGCTATTTTTAATCGAGCAAACTCACTTGGATCTTTGGTACGGAAGTAAGGAATGGTGGGGGATGGACCTTTGTAATATTTCTCGGTCAGATCCATAGGTGCTACGGGAGGTGACACATTATAGGAAGCCATCCTGTGTTGTTCAGGATAAAGATGTCCTGGTTGTTCATGTGCATACGGAGGACCTATCTGTTGGGCAGGATACTGGCCATACCTGAACTGGTTATCATACGAACTTGGATAGCTGAAATCCCTAGTCTGCTCAACTGAAGTGAGTCTAGGGGTAAGTGTCGGTGTGGCCCTTGTAGTGCTGTATAGCCTTTGCTTGCTGCACTGATTAATATTTTCTGGCTCATCGTATGCAATAGGTGGAGGAGGCTCTGGCCAGCCTTCATCACCCGCATCCGCTGCATGGTGAAATTTAATGGATGGATGGTCAGACCGGGTGTTAGACGTAGATAAAGGCCTTTGCAGATTACAGGCTCTGTCTAAAAGCTGCATCAGCTCATCTTTGGCTGTCTCAATCCGTTTAAGGTCAGCTTGTATGGCCTGCTGTGTTTCACAAAGCTTTAAATTCTCCTCTGAGATCCTTTGTAACTTTAGGGAGCTAGCATCTGATCTATCGCTCTGGTATCCATCAACTTCATCACCAAGGGGAACGAACTCTGCATTTGATTCAAACTGTAGTTCTCGGTTTGGATATTGTGGTGATGTCTGGTGGGCAGGACTGGAAATGTGCTGCTGCAGAAGACTTGGACGGTCACGATGCTTATCCCTGACCGTTCTGTCCAAATTCCCTTACATATTATTGGTGGAGTTCCCTTTAAAATCTTAAATGATTCCCTTTGAGCTAAATTGGACCTGTTTCCCTTACATTACTTCCATGTTCCCATTGCTCCCCACCACAGGAAGTTCCTAAGATTCAGTTTTCAGGGTCAAGTCTTATCAGTTCAGAGTCCTGCCATTCGGGCTGTCTCTAGCTCCTCGCGTTTTCACGAGATGCATGAATGCGGCTCTGTCTCCTCTTTGGTCCAAGGGCATGAGGATTCTGCCTTATTTGGACGATTGGCTGCTCTGCGCCCCAACGAAAGTACACGCTCTAAGCGATACCAAGATTCTTCTGGATCATATACAGAAGCTAGGCCTTACTGTGAACGAAACAAAAAGTCATTTGGTTCCAGAGCAGACTATAACCTTCATAGGAATAATGCTCAATTCTGTCACAATGTCTGCCACATTGTCTCACACTCGGACAGTCAGTATTCTTCAGTTGTTGACTCGTTTCCGTCTGGGGGCAAGGATACCTTAAGCTGCCGCCACATCCGTGATTCCCTTAGGGTTGCTTCACCTCAGGCCTCTTCAGAAGTGGAGCAACAGCTTAGGGCTAGACTCAACGAGACATTGCCATCGCATGATTGTTGGTTCTTCTGCTTGTGTCAGAGCACTGAAACCCTGGAAACGGGTAACATTTCTGAGGGCTGGAGTGCCACTCGGAGTGGTGCCTTCTCGTCGGGAAGTGATCACAACCGATGCTTCACTAACAGGATGGGGGCAACATGGAACCAGAGGGGGATTGGTGGCCGCTGGTCAACAAAGGAGGCCTTAGAACTTATCAATGTTCTGGAACTGAAGGCAGTGTATCTAGCGCTACAACACTTCTTACCAAATCTGTTAGGCCACCATGTACTTGTCCGATCTGACAACACGTCAACAGTCTTTCATTTGAATCACCAGGGCGGCACCAGGTCTCTTGCGTCTTTACAACTAACTCGCAAGATCCTCAGATGGTCTCAAGGCCGACTGGCTTCATTAAAGGCAGTTTATAATCCAGGATCGGACAATCAAGTGGTGAATGCTCTGTCCAGGGATCTACTGCTTCCGGGCGAATGGAGGCTTCACCCGGATGTGGTGCAACCGATATTGCAACAGTTCGGCAAGGCAGAGGTCGATCTATTTGCCTCTGAGCTAACCACGCATTGCCGTTGGTGGTTTGCGAGGGCAGAGGCATCCAGCCCATTGGGACAGGATGCATTAGCTCATGAGTGGCCGAACTGCCTATTGTATGCGTTCCCTCCTTTTCCACTTCTATGGGAGACCCTACACCGAATATTTCTGTCTAAACACAGGGTGCTTTTAGTGGCACCTCGTTGGCCAGCCAGGCCGTGGTTTCCTCTTCTTCTCAGTCTGTTACAGGGCGAGCCGTGGCAGATTCCCATCAGACAGGACCTCCTTTCTCAGCTGAATGGCCGTGTTTGGCACCCGGATCCAGCTTGTCTTCAGCTTTGGGTTTGGCCAGTGGGTTCACTTCTCAGTTAACTGATTGTGAGCCAGCAGTTCTGAACACTATTGGTAACGCTAGGGCTCCTTCAACACGACAGCTTTATGCTGCTCGTTGGAGGATTTTTTTCATCTTTGTGTGGGGAACAAGGACTTGACCCAGTTCATTGTACTATGCCAAAAGTATTTAGTTTTTTGCAACATCTCTTAGATGACAATAAGGCGGTTTCAACCATAAAAGTTTATGTTTCTGCCATCTCTACTTATCATGCCCCAGTCGATGGTGCATCCTTGGGGTCTCACAACCTTGTATGTAGCTTTCTGAAGGGAGCAAGGCGTTTAAAGCCTGTTCGTTCCACTCCTTTTCCTGTTTGGGACTTGCCGCTTGTTTTAGAGTTTCTTTGTACACCACAGTTTGAGCCATTGGATGTGGTGGATATTAAGTGGCTGTCCTTGAAAGTGTATTTTCTGTTAGCCATTGCTTCCGCTAAATGCGTTGGTGAACTTCATGCTCTGTCAGTGAGTGAATCGTGCTTACTCTGGTTGCCAGAGGGTTCTGGGGTCATTCTTTGGCCTAATCCGGCCTTCCTTCCTAAGGTCTTGTCACCTCAATTTGTAAACCAGTCTATTCATCTGGCTGCTTTTCAATCTCCTCTTTCTCCCTCTGATGCAGTCTGGGGGAGGTCTCATCTGCTGTGCTCTGTACAAGCTTTAAGGTGCTATGTTAAGTCTACTGCTTCTTTCAGACAGACAGATCAGTTATTTGTCTGCTATGGTGAGGTACGCAAGGGTGCTCCTTTGTCTAAGCAAAGACTAGCCCGCTGGATTGTCGAGGTGATAAAGCTAGCGTATAGTCATTCTAACCAACCTTTACCAGTGGGTGTCACTTGTCACTACTAGGGCTGTCTCTTCATCTTGGGCCACTTTACGAGGAGTTTCCTTGGCAGAGGTCTGTGCAGCTGCTACCTGGTCCTCTCCATGTACCTTTGCACTATTCTACAAGGTCAATGTGGCTGCTTCTCATGATGTGAGTTCTGCAGTCCTTCTGGAGCGTCCTTGATGCAGGTGGGTGGCATTCCTCATGACTGTGTTGGTAAGTGTCATCCACTAGTGCTTAGCACCGCCTCTGGCGGTCATCCGAAATTCACAGAACCACAGTTACATACGTAACTAGTGTTCAGCCTTGTCACTTGACCTGAATACAGCACGCTGAATCGCTAAAATTGACTTATCGGCTTCTGTTCACAAACAACAAGGGTGCTTGTCGGCTTCTGCAGTAAAATGTGAACTTGCGATGCCTTAGAAGTGGACAATACAGGCTTTTTTGACAAAACATGTTTAAGGTTCAGATCGCACTATATGTGGAGAATAATGCACTGCACTCAGTTCATTTTTTTAAAAGTGGCATTTATCGGTTTTTGCAAATGAACTCTTTATATATTGTAACAATGTAAAAGTCTTTGTTGTGGTATTTGATCAGTTTAATGTATTCTAGCTGAATATGAGTAATGATTTATTCCTTTAAAAAGATCCTGTTACCACAGCCTCTGTTTGGCTAGTCTGAATTCTGTTTCATAGTCAGCTAAATGTTTGCTCTCTTCTAGTTCTCTTCTGTCTGAGTCAGCTGTACACAGATAGTTTTCAGCGCCTGGCCTTCCTTTCTATACAGCAGCTAATGGAGAGCATGCTTTAAGCCTATATTATTTACTGCCCGCCCTCCTCTCTGTCTTTCAGCTTTATTGCCCTTCCTCTCCCTGTCATTTCCACCATCACTGGCTCTGCCTAACCCACCCAGTCATCTTAGCTTCTCCACACAATTCTTGTGCTCACACTCTCTCCCTTTCGCAATGGAAATGATACCGCTGATAAATGAGAGTGCCAAAGCTGTTCCGTGATTGCAGCCCTCCTGCTAAAAAGAACAGCATTTTACGTTGAGATGACAGAGTTTCTTCTTCAAAGTGATGGCAACTTACCGCCAAATGACAGAGGCTGAACACTGCAGCATCCATTTGAAAGGAGCTCTCTCAGAGTCATCTCTCGGAGTATTTTTATTGCACTTAGGTTTAGGTTGGCGCTTCTTCTTTAGGTGTGGTGCAACTTTGCAATACTGTTTCATCATGTCCCAGCAGAATGCGGCATCTGCTTCGTAGCATTCCGCCGTAAACTATGGTATAACTCATAGTGGCTGTGATTTTGAAAGATGTTAACAGTGTAGCAAATGCTGTATTGTTGAAGCTGAATGTAACAGATTCAGTGGGAGGGATACTCTGGAGAGAAGAAACATTTATTTCCTAAGCAAGTCTTCCCTACAGGATACAGCCATTCAGTTGTGGCTTTAAAAAACAGCAAGGGGCTCCAGAGGTATTTCACGGAAAATAATGTGCGGTCAACCAAACACAACACAATGTTCTTAGTGGGTTACACCCTAAGGTCTCTCGCTTTCACCCCAGCCCTGAAGTTTTTTTTGGATTGCATCATATTTGTAGTGTTGTGGGCCTGCTGGTTGTTTATGACTGTTGGCTTCATTTGTTGTGATAAAAGCAAAGAGTTTGTTTTGCCCCGCAGACACAGAGATCTCCGATCCTTCAGTCGAGTAGCTGACCCCATCCTGCAAAATACAGCCAATGTTCAGATAGCACAAAGAATACAGTGTTCCACCTCTCTTACCAACACTGTACAATGATTCTTACTATAGATGCAGTAAATAATGTTGAATAACTAACTACCAGATGTACCAGAAAATTGCAGAATTATTGAATATTTTTGTTTACTCACTATTCCTAAGAGCTATCAACTTTAAGGAACACAAGTATGCATCTCAGTGCAGCTCTTCTGTCATGATTTACCATTTAAAAGTTAAAATAAATATAAAATGACTAAATAGGCCTACCTTAATTCAGTCCCACTTTCCCCTATGGTTAATTATGGTTGCTTTGTTTGACTGTTTATTTACATAACATTTGGTGACAATCAATCACATTTACTTAATTAAGTAGATTAATTAAACTTTAAAAAGCCATGCAAATTCTTGTCTATGTGAAAAGTTATTTTGAAGAATATTTTTGGACATACAATGAAAGTCAATGGGATCCAAAACAACTTTGGTCCCAATAGACCTTCACTGGACAAAAAAACATAATGGAGTGCAAATGATGACTAAATATTTATTTTTGCCTGAAATTCCTTTATCATCCTCTTGACATTTCTTGATTCATAACACTGACAACACTGGCATAGTCGTGGATCTGATGTTTTATTTGATGGAGGCAGCATAGACATCCAGGGTATTCATCAAAATGGTGTTCTCAGATTTGTGCTTCTGTTCTATAGAGTCTGTTATTTAGTATATTGATATTTGGGAGAAAAAAATCCCACTTCAGAGATAAGATCTATAGTTTTTTTTCAGTAAAGATACTATGTTTACTGAATGCACTAGAGCATCAGGAATCCTGTACATTTTAGAACTTGTGAATAGAATCATTGCAGAAGAGCATGCTAGTATTGTTATTATGAGCCATTTGTTGTTGCAGTACCATTAATGGCCTGCCAGCTTGCAGCAATAATAGCCTGCACTCCTGCGGCCTGGGCCGATGGCAGCACTTGAAGTGAATCGATTGCTGCACTAGTAAATTCAATACAGTGCTGCAACTAAAATCTTAAGGCACGGCAGGCCTCCAAGGTAGGATTTGATTGTCCCTGCTTTACGATGTATTGAGTGCGAGAGTGAATGCCCTGTGTAAAGCAGACAGCGTTATAAATGGCCAATGTTAAAGCTGGATCCAGATGCTTGAGGTTTGGTGTTAAGCAAAGAAAGCCCTTTTACTATTTTCAGTTTGAGGAGGAAGACCATTATGCACACACTCGCAAAAGTCTTCAGAGTTCAGCTCTGGGTCGACGTATTGGAGACTCATGGTTGTGTGTATTAATAAACAGCAAGCAAATGCCCTTTATCGTATTTTACCATCATTGTGTTGTTCTTTGCACAGACAGGAGGAGCAGAAAATTAGCAAGTGTCATTGGCACTGTTGCAGCTCACATCACGTCAGATACTTTCAGAGAAATGATTGATCAAAGCCGGCCGTCAACTCTATCAGTCTGGACAGCTATGAATCAAAGGTCACCTGTGTTTTTCTCCAGAGCTATTTTACTGGCATCATATGTATAAGTAGGGATCACTTAAGCTGGTTTGCTCAACCTCATGGTGCATGTGTATGTTTATATATGTGTGTGTTGTGACATGATTAATGTGGTGTTAGTTGCAGCATGCCCTTTATCCTCTGTCCTCCTGATGGCCTCTCTTTTTTTATCTATTTATTTATTTTTTGCTTTTTCACTCACTTTATCATTCAGTTTAATTTTTTTTTGCCTTGAACACTCTCTTCTCCACATCTTTTTTCACTTTCACTCTCATATGAAGGAAAACCACAAATGACATCTCTATAATATCTCAAGTGATATTCCTGGACAATAATGAGATTTAATGGAAAGCAAATGGAGTCTTTTCTCAAGAAGTAGTTACATTTTTCCAATTTCAGAAGAGATCTCAACAGTATCACAACTGTGTGCTCAGATTTGCCACGATACTAAGATCTGTAATCAAACATCAAAGGCTATGTTTTGGATGCAATACTAGCTTTTTAAATAATAAGTCCCTGCCTGACATTTTTTTTTTTTTGATAATCATTTTTACTTGGATGTACTTCACAATACAGTAGAAAAGATTAGACAAAGTTGATACTGAAATGAAACAAAACTGAGAACTTGAACTAAATGAACGAAATAGTAATAAAATCAATAAAATATCAAACTCTTTCATTGCCTTCTCTTTGCCTTTATCCTTTCATTCAAGTGCTCTTTCTCTCCACCACTCTTTTTCCCTTTAACTCCCTCTTTTTAACTATTTTTTTATTGAATTCTTATTTATTGAATTACGAGTCAATCATGTCAGATTTTCCAGACAATACCTTTAAAGGTTGCTCAGTAAGGAGTAGGGCACCCTGTCCTCGAATGAATCGTAACCCTTGTGGTCAGCCTGGTTATTCTTCTGTATAATGATTGAGCTTAAATCCTTTCAGACCTTCTGAAACACAGATGACCTCATAAAATATCTGTCATGGTTGGAAACATTGCCATGGTACCACTGCCACTAACTATTCAGGGAGTCGTGCTTTGAAAGAAAGATATGCAGATTATGTTTGTGTGCATGAGTTTAAATGCACAGAGCAGAACTATTTTAACTGGTCAATGAGTCACACCGATTTACTGCTTTGCCATTTTTTGACATTGTGTGTGTGTGTGTGTGTGTGTGTGTGTGTGTATGACTGTTAACTTTAACACTAGATGTTCATTACATATTTAATTTTACAGATCAAATTCTCAATTTCATCATACACTTTTGATTTTATAGCATTTCCTAATGTTAAAATTGCCACTGACATCACAGCTATGATGAAATCCTGTATGACAGCTACCAGTGAGAGTGTTTTCATTCATGTTCACTTTTAACCTAACAACTTAAAAATAAAATGGGTGTTACTTTAAATTCATAGGTATAAAAAATTCAGACAGAAGTAGAAAAATATTGGACATCTGAAAATATTTTTATGTAAATATTTTATTTTTTTCTCCTCAGACTGAGAGAGAATCTTATTAAATTTAATTTAAACTGTGCCCGACACAGTTGTCCCCCATCTCCCTTCTGTATTGTCTGGTTAGGACCAATAATGGAGGAGACTTGTTGTAAACACTTTTCTCATTTTAATTAATATTTTGTCTGTTTATGTGAAAATGCAGTCAGTTGTTTGCATTTCACTGATTTCACTCATTTATTTTCCATAAGTACTTAACTTCGTAGTATGATCCACTCTCTCTCAAACTCTGTTTAAATCATCATCTCTAACCTTGCTGGATGTTGTAATAGCGTTTTATCATGGTTCATGGTATGCAGTAACTTGTTCAAAGGGATGTGACCCTGGAGCCAGAGAGCGTGTAAGAGAATAAACATAAAGATAGCTTATCGTCTGTAATCTGTGTTACTGCCTATGTCTGACATTCACCTCTGTGTCCTCCTATGTGTTTAGACAGTGCATTCATCACTTTGGGCCCAATGACAACCTTCTTTGAGACCTACACCACTGGATCATGTCTCTCTCATAATCACTTACTCTGTCTCTCTCTCTCTCTTTTTCCCAAAACAACCGTGTTCATCTGTTTTTGTCTGTTATCCTTCCTCCCAATCCCTCTTTTAGTTGTACAAAAGTTGTCCTCCCTGGCCCTCTTCCTTCCTTTCTTTTGCATGACAGCCATTTACTGGAGCATTATTATTCCCCGTATAAGCCCCTCTTTAATTAAACACCAATTTGGATGGATTTACGCTTTTTCACATGCCAAAACATTCATATTGGCTGTTTATCCCCGTGGTTAAAGGGCATAGCTGTCAAACTGACCACAATTCATGGCGATATTAAGTGTTTCGCAGTGAACTGAGCAGCATGGCGCAGCTCCGTTCCTTCCGAAATAACATGGGCTAACTGGTGATTAAGGATTTAAAAGACGAAGTGGAGATGCTCGTGCCGGGCGGTCCTGTAAATGATTCAGGAGAACTGATAGCTGGTGCGCGGCTCACCGTCATTTCAATGTGTTTTTGAATCTCAGTCATTAAAGCTCTGGCCGCATTTCAATTTAAGCCGTCATCCTCCGCTCTGGCAACTATGATCTCCGTGCAAGGCGAAAATCGTAATTTAGTCGTTGCTCCAGGCGGCGGTTATTTTTCTCTTTAATAATAAATATTACAATTTTTTCTTTGCATAAATCAAAGTAGTATGAAAGATGAAAAGGGAATTCGTGTTTTATGCGTGGAGACCTTCCTAGAACTTATCTGGTGTCATGTTGTTACCCCACACGTCCTGAGATAGGGGCCGCACATGAAAAGAAATCGCAAAACGCTGGCAACTACATGCCCCATTGTATCTTGACATCAGCTTTGAACTGTGAGGAAACCAAGAATGAAAGACAGAAACGGCCAGTTAAGGGGTCTGGTTTCATATGAGGACCAGTCTGACAGAGTTCCTAGTTCCAAGATAGCAATCTCTCAGAACAAGACCATGGATTTGGTGTCTCCCTTTGACTAAATCACTCAATTTACATGTACTATCATGCCTATCTGGTAACAGAGTCATCCCGCTGAAGTCTTACTCTCTTTTTCTATATAACTCTCTTGCGCTCCCTCTCTTTTCCCCTCCCTGTGACCCTGGCTTCTTCTCTGCCCCACTAAAGGTGTTTGTCTGTGAGCGGCAGTGAGGATTACCTTTCCATCAGTAGAAGAATGAGGTGTGAAAAGCAATCTGAGGAACGCCAGGCCGGCTGATACGGAACTTTGGCGGATATAATTATGCCTATGAAAGATCATTTCTGACCTGATCCCTTGCTGCTCTGGATGGCAGCCAGCCACCGCCGTTGTTTTGTTTTGCTTGTGCGGCATGTGAAATGTGAAAACCTTTAGCAAGGGAGTAGTGACACAGCAGACTTCTCCATTTTTCTCTGCTTTCCCTTACAGTCTTGCTCTGTAGAAACAAAAATGAGGATGAAGATGTATGAACTTCACACTTTCTATTTTTCTTGAACTCTTTGTCTTTTTAGATACTCTTCCCAAGGGTGGTCGCTTGACCAGATTACCATATTTGCTCTGGTGGATTCCTTTGTGCGGAGATGCAAAGATCTAATAGAGGTGAGCAAACACTACAAAATGATGCAAACAAACACACATTCACAAACTGTAAATTTTCCAAATGCATGCAGAATTTTTACACCCTACTTTCTCAAGCACACATCCAGAGAATATCCTCTCAGATTTCTCAATAATTCACATCTCTGTGTGTTTATTGCTTTCATTTTTCGTATTTCCCAGGACTCCTGTCCTTGCTGAGAGCTGTTTTTTTATATCTCTTGTCATTTTTATATTTATTCATGCACATTTTTTGCTGTGTGCTCCCTACTAGTTCCTCATACTATTGGTACTTTCCATAATTAGGGCTTGAAACTCTTTTTCTCTTTCAACAAATGGTTAGTGAGAAGAGATGCTTAGCCTTCAGAAATTGTTGTATATCAAGCATAGGAGGTCAACCTGAATTTTATGAGCTATTTTTTCATTCTTTTTTTTTTCTTTTTTTTTTTGCAATAAATGCTTTCAGACTGACTTTTTGTAGAATAGAAAATAGTATATTGAATATCTATTCTATTTTAATTTTTGAATATCGATTTTCACATTTTTTTTAATCTAAAAAAAATTGCATACGTTTCTTTCTCTAACACATTCTCTTTATTTCAGGTGTGTGAGTGTCAGCAGCAGTTTGCTCGCTGGGAAGAGGGTGAGCGAGTGCCGTTGCCATGCTTTGCTGGACGTCAGGGGTCAGAGGTCACTCAGAGACTGCTGTACATAGAGGCAACCTTTGACAACAGCCTGCAGGTCCTGCACTCTGTTAAGGACATCCTGGATGTCAGAAATCCCTCTTGGCATGAGGACTACAGCAGGTGCAGTGTGTTTGTAAATTGATCAGTGCACAGAGAAAAAGAGAGGTACTGTGAAATAGCTGGCTTTGATTGTTTGAGGAGCTACATTCTGTCCATATGGCAAACACGATGCCTACACTGGAAGTGACCAGTGTTGCATTTGCTGGAAGCTGCACATCACCTCTGAATGTCCACTAACCAGAGACCAGTCAGCTGTGAGCTTCATCAAGATTAAATCGAAAATGCATTCCATTAATAATAAAAGCCTACTTACATTTTTAACAAATGAGCCATTGGTATAAAAATATTGTATGCATGAGCATTTTTAGGATAACATATAATTTTATAATATAATAATTTAATATATAAATACAAATATGCCAATTTATGTAATATTAAATACATTACATGCATTCAAAAGTTTGAAAGAAGTCATTTATCCTCACCAAGGCTGCATTTTTATTTAAAAAATAATATAGTGAAATATTATAAAAAAAAAATTTAAATAACCCTTTTCCTTTTAAATATATTTTAAAATGTAATTTAAGTCCAAAAGTACAGCATTCATTTTAAAATATGTACAAGTCTTTACTGTCCCTTTTGAACATTTTAATGCGTCCTTTCTGAATAAAAGTTTCTTAATTTCTTTCATTAAAAAAAAAAGACTAACGCCAGATTATTGTTTAATTATTTTAAATATATATATAAAATGGATCTTCATATGGATAGAATAAAATAATCTTGAGTTGCTGTGGTATTTGTAAAATGAAGGTGCCAAATCTGGCTCTTGCATTGTAGATGGCTCCATTGACTATAATGGGAGCGATCTAGTTTTGTTGTGTAGTGACACGCAAAATGCGTCAAACTGTGTGTCTGTCTTTCTGCCAGCCTGTCTATGAGGCAGTCAGTCCTTCTGGTTCTCATGTATATTTATAAATGTTTGTCATTCTCGACTGCTTATTGGCCTGCTGGCCTGTTGGGAATTTCCATACATCTCGTATTAGCATATCTTCATAAATATGCATATAATGACCCGCATATTCGGATCATATAGATATTTTTCATGAATATTCTGCCTAAATGTATGTACAGCGGGGAGAAGATCACTTTGCCTTTCTGTCTGAGCCCAGCGTGCCCCTATTGTCATTCACAACTGTTTGTGACAGCAGGCAGTTTGGCTGCTTATCTGAATACCATCATGACCGTCTGTGTGACGGAACCTGGGCTGCCCATCAGCCTCCAGAGACCATTATCCCCTCGTACCCCCGCCCCAGGCACTGACGGACCTTAGGAAAGGGAGCAGTGCGTGAGCGAGCGTGTGCATCTGATGGCCATGATGGATTGGGGCCGAGGCGGGTCATAGGGTTAGGATGTTGTTGCCAAGACAAACAGCTGTGCTTGTGTCTGGGGCAGGTGTTTCATAGTGTCTCAGCATATTGAGAGCACCCAAATCAATACCAGCCACCATTTACGGCCGAGAGTGTGTGTGTGCTGGACTCTGCCTTTGAATAGAGGGCACTGATTTGTGTTTGGAACGTGCTGTACAGCTCTGCCCACTTCTTTGTTGTTTTGTGCCTCTTGTTTATCTGTGTGTGCATTTGTGTTTTTAGGTTTTGTGGTAAAGTGAAAGATCTGGAGGTGATGATGCAGAATTTGATCACTTCGACCTTCGAGACTGTGAACTGTGTGGAGGAAGGAGTACAGCTGCTTGACGTGTTTCAGCACCTGTCTGGAAGAGAGGTCTTTCTCACACACACTTAGCCTTCAATTCACACACACTTTATCACCTCCTTTAAAACCTTGCACACTGTCAGACTGCTAGTCTTCTTAGCAAATACAGTGAATACAAATGGCTCCGGCAGAACAGACCGAACACAGACTTCTGATGTCACTTCCTTTTCACTCTCATTTACTCAGGGGGTCAGTAGCAGGACCTCACGCACACATATAAACCCACTGCTCTCTCACCTGTGTCACCAGTCTCTTTAGTTGTTGTCATTAAGATGTGTTTACCTCGTTAATCACCATCATCTCTCCTGGCTTTTGCCTTCCCCTTCAGTCTCAGTTTTTTTTTTCATCCTTCTTCTTTTCATTCTGTCAAATTTCAAATTTTAAAGTGTTGCATTGACTAGACTATTTTACATGCATTATAGCTAAAGCATTACAATGAATAATAAAAAGTCAAAAATAAAAAGGTGAAGTGAAGGTGAAACAAACTAAAATAAAATATAAAATGTCATTTAATATAAAAAATCTAATCAAATAAATAATTTATAGAATAACAAGGCATTGGTAAACATAATAAAGATAACTAGTTAACATAACGATCATAGCAGTAATTTGTTGTGGTTTTTGAGAGTGTTCATTCACATAAAGAGGCAAGCCATAAGAGGCTGTGTATTACAGGATTTTACCACAATTTACCACATTTCCTGAGTGTTTCTCTTTTATATCTTTCTTAGGCAATCAAGCGGACCATTGACAGAAAGACGGTGGATGTATACGCATTGCTTAGTGCTGAGCTGAGTGATATTAATTTGGTGATGTGCAGGCTGTCATCTCTCACTCCTGCTCAGATGCCTCGACATGCAGGACAGGGGCATTGGACCCGAGCACTCCGATCACGGATAGAAAGACCCATGGAGGTGATATTAACATTAAAGAGAGGTTAACATTTAAAAAAAAAAAAAAACTATAAGATCAATGTTGTGAATCAAGAACTCTTTTTGATTCAGAACTGGTTGCATTTTTTTTTTTAATCCAATACCAGTACACAATGATTTTAATGAAATTCCTACAATGCAAAAATACTGTCAGTGTTTTCTGTACTGGTGAATTCAGAACAGAAAGAAATTTAATTTTAATTTGAATGTTTTAATGATTTTATGTGCTTTTGTCATAGCTTTAATTTTTATATCAGTTTTAATAATTTTGGTATTTCACGTATCTCAAACTCCTCAATCTAAAATGACTCAATGACATAATTTACTTTGTATTTGACTTAAAATAAACTAAGCACTTAAAGGATTAGTTCACTCCAGAATAAAAATTTCCTCATAATTGCCTCACCCCCATGTCATCCAAGATGTTCAAGTCTTTCTTTCTTTAGCCGAAAAGAAATTAAGGTTTTTGAGGAAAATATTCCAGGATTTTTCTCCATATAGTGGACTTCAACGGGGACCAATGGGTTGAAGGTCCAAATTGCAATTTTGTTGCAGCTTCAAAGGGCTCTACACGATCCCAGCCGAGGAATAAGGGTCTTAACTAGTTTCAAAAGATTTAAACATCCAGGATATGCACACAAATGGACCATTTTAAGCAATAAACTGATACAAAGACATAAATATGTGTCAATCAACACATCAACTTTTGAACAGTCCTCCTTCTCCACACTTGTAAACATTGGGTCGATACTTCTGCCTGCATCACGTGTGACCTTTCCAACTTGACTACGCAATGCGTGAAGTCGTGGACGCACGTCGCAGAGCTAGTGCAAGACAAGGATTTGTGGTTAAAATGTATAGATAAAGACAAGACCCTTATTCCTTGGCTGGGATCGTGTAGAGCCTTTTGAAGCTGCACTGAAACTGCAATTTTGACCTTTAACCCCGTTGAAGTCCACTATATGGAGAAAAATTCCGGATTGTTTTCCTCAAAAACCTTAATTTCTTTATGACTGCAGAAAGAAAGACATGAACATAGATTACATGGAGGTGATGAAATTATCAGAAAATTTTAATTCTGGAGTGAACTAATCCTTTAAGGTTTTGTGAGATCAGTGTAATAAAATGGGCTTCCTCAAAGATACCAAATGAATGGAATTGCTGAATCAGAACCAATTCACCCAGATTTCCCAGTTTCACTTTCATAATAAAGATGTCAAACATACTAACATCAAACTGATGTTATGTTAGTATGTCATGTGAAAATGCCCACAGTCAAATCAAAGCATCACAGGTTCCTGAAAGATGCACCAACTGGATGTGCGTTAGGAGACCACTAATCAGTCCAATCCCAGCATGCACTAGGCTGTACCCTTTTTTTCTCACCCTTTGTACAGTAGGTGAACTCTGTTGGGTTTTATGGACAAATGAATCAGATTCCAACCCAAAACTTCCATCAGGGTAAATTTGGAAGGTGTCACAGGATAGCTTAACTCCATTGATGAGCTCTTCTCTGTGTTGAGCTCAGAGCCTTGTGTCAGAGGCCAGTGAGGGGCCCCAGCAGAGGCCCTGGAGCCCAGCCAGGATCCAGCCACACAGGCCCTAATGCTATTAAAGCCAGCTGTGCCGCTACATACTCACTCTCTCGTTCTTTTTGTCACTTTCCATTTCACTCACCCTTCCTCTCTATTTCTCTCTCATGCTTTTTCTTTCTTTTGCTTCTCATCTTTCTCTCATTCTTCAGTTTGCTTACAAAGCACATCGCCTTCTCCATTGTGTTTAAATTCATTTTCCGCTTTCTTTAAGAAGGCAATTAAGAGCAGACATAAGCTTTAATTGGACGCAGATATGATTATGTTGCATTTCCCCACAATTGATCCCAAAAAGGCCCACAGAGAAACAAAAGGGAGACAGAAACCAGAGCTTGATGGTCTGATTAGACGTCGTAGAATGTTTACATAGTTACTGCATAGCCTGAGACATTCCTAACATGAGCGAAGTTTAGCCTTCATTTGTTTTTATGTTTGCCCTTGGTTTGTTTAGCTTAGTTGTGCTCTGGCAGTTGTTTTGATTGTTTGTGACCTTGTATGTGTGAGTCGGTAAGATTTCAAGACGTTGTTTGTTTGTAAGTGATGAGATGTGTGTTCACTGCATTCTCTCTGAGCTCTTCCCATCTGTTTGTCTGTGATTTTTGCACATGTGTTGTCTAGGTTCTCCGGCGAACTCATTTCCTGCCACAAGTCAGCAGTGGAGAGGAGGTGCATGTGAATTACGCTAAGCTGTGTCAGACTCTGGATGAGAAGGTGAGGAGGATCTTCACAGACTGGAGTCAGAGTCTGAACAGAGAGTGTCTCAGCAGTCTCAACCAGCCACTCATGATCCGCTGTAAAGGGAAGACAGGCCCGCTGGACATCAACTTTAACAAGTACGTGATTATACAAACACACATACATACAGGCCCTCCAGTACCTCTGTGCTCACTGTGATTGTCAGTATAATTAGACATGCCTATGTTACTGACCAGGGATGTTTTTGTCCATGGTTTTATGGCACAAGATTCAGTGCACTGCACGCTATAAAAAATAGATTTTGTTTTTGGAATTTTTCATCAGAAAAACATGACCTTTTTAGCTTTAATGTTGAGGACAGTATACAAATATCATAGAACATCCACTTCTCACTTTATCTGCTGAGGGAAATAAATAATATTAAATAATAATATTAATCCAATTGATCGCAATGGATTAAATCCTATGCTACATTGAATAATCTGTTAGACTTGAAGTTGAATACATTTTGATTTCTGTTAATTATTATGTCCTTAAGCAACCCATTCAAACCCTTTCAAATAATTAAATTATTTGTTGTTGCGCTGATCTTAAATCTTTTATGCTCTGTAGTCATAATACATGACCATTACTGAAGATGTTTTATACATGCAAACAGTGCCGATCCTAGACTACTGGGGGCCCTACGCAAAACTGTCTTGAATCGATCTCGCGGAAAGCGCTTGAGAAACAGTGTCTCTTCCGCGGCTCGGTACGCTTTCAACTCGGTTTTTTTTTTGTCTCGAGCAAGACTGTACAACATTCACATTACATTATTTGACTGATTTTTACATAGAAAGTGCGACAGCGCACCACATTAAAAGAAATTATCATTCATGTTTTCATAACCGCTGGCCAAATTCAAAAACGAAACTAAAATTAAATCATCTTTGAGAGCAAGGGGGCCCCCTGGTGTTTCGGGGGCCCTAAGCCGCTTGCGTATTTTGCATATAGGGAGGAACGGCTCTGCAGGCAAAATATTCTAGTGTGAGCACAAATACACAGACTTTGAATGTATAACTCTGTTTATGTGTTCAGGAACCGGTTGAAGATGTTTAATGAGATTCATTACTGGGACCGACTGCTCTTCGAGATCCCTCACTATGTCACAGAGGTGTATCAGCGCAGAGAGGAACTCCACAACCTGAGAGAGAATGTCCTCCTAGTTGTTAGAGACTATAACAGGTTGGTATGGCTGACAGAGACTGACTTTTCGGACGTCCCATACAGTACATGTTTATTCTTCATAAAACATTATTTTTTTAATAATAATAATAATGAAAATGGTATTTTCCACAAATCCCAAGTTTTATTTAATTTTATTATTTAATTTAATATTATATCTATTTAGGTGTGCTATATTTAGTGTTTATTGCTTGAAAATAACACAGTTTGAGAAATTAGGCTTTTAAGTTGAATTTGCAAACATGTAAAATAATTAAAACAGCTCATAAAAGCAGTTGATACGGAACATTCTCTCATGGTTATGCTCTGATAAGGATTCCTTTTTAAAAAAAAAAAAAAAAAAAAAAAAAGTTTTTCTGTCCCAATTATGTACTTTATGGAAAGTGCCACATCCTAACTCTATGCCTTCCAGACATTTACATTTTAATTTTTTGTATATTCTGTTCAATTATATCTTATGTTTGTATTAAGTTTATAAAACTTTTTTTTAATAAATTGAGAACTAAACTAAGAAGTTAGATGTAATATATTTGTTATAACTTTATTATTTATTATAACTTGCTTTTCGTAAGTACAAAAAAACAAGTGCACTTTCACACACGGATGCATACTTACCAGTCACATACATATTTAAACGGTGTACTTGTCAGGTAACTTCACATCTTTAATATGCATTGATATTATTCTTCACCTCTTCGGCCTACACACACTTGCACTTTAGTGCAAACTGAATATTTACATTCCATCTGCCTCAATATACACATCTCCATTCAAGACTTTAGCACATCCAATCTGGAGAAAAGCACTTGAATTAAATGCACACACACACACACACACATACTTCCACTGAACAAAACAATTCACACGTCCCTCATTCTGTAGTGAATAATAACCTCCTCCTCTCTCACATAAGCGTACACACACACACGCGCTCTTCAGACTGGAGGACTCATTGTAACTCTCAGAGGGACAGAGTGAGTCATCTCTGTCAGTATTGTTACCACATTTAATGCATTCTACACATGCCAGCTGGAAACAAACACTTAAACCCAACACAAGCTAAACAGGCCACTTGCCCCAAATGGCAAAGCACATCCACTAAGACTTGTTAATCCATTTTTACCACCCTCTTGTTCTGTTATGCTTTTAAAATGGCCTTGCTTGTTTTTGAAAATGCTGTGAAAGAAACTTGTCAATGCCTGTAAGACCTAAAATGAAAATGGGGAAAAAAACAACAGTGAACTTAACCTTATATGTTTGTGTTCACTCTCAATTAGAATCATTAAGGCTCTAAATGCAGATGAGCTGGGTCTCTTTTCTGAGAGAATTCGGTTCCTGGATCGGAAAATCCAGCCAGGCCTGTCAAAACTGCACTGGTCCACAAAAGGAACAGCCAGCGTCTTTATCAATGACTGCAGAGTGCACGCCAACAAGGTCAGTAGTTTCTGACACACACGCAAATACACACAACAGAAAACTGTGGCCAAACAGATGGTGGAGTGAAAAGCTTGTGTTCCTCAGGCAGACGGAAATTTTCTGGATTTGCCCTGATCAGAGCAGTATGAATTTCAGTGCTGGTCCAGTGCATTGCCACTAGAAAAACATAGCTGGTGGAGCTGGTCAGCCAGCATGGTCTGTCTGGTAAAGCTGATGGACAGCTAGCTAGGCATGGCGCCCAATGTGGACAGCAGCCTGGTTTCTTCAGCAGAGAAACCTCCCGAGTCCAAAAATTGAAGAGAATTATAGACATCTAGTTTCAAGGCATCCTTGAAATGCTAAATTTGCTTGACTAATTAATAATGAGCATTTCTGGTCATTCTAATTTAGGGCTATAACTAAACTATTTTGATAATCCATTAATACAATGGAATTTTTCTCTTTGAATGCAATGCACTCATTCACGTGTTCAGTTTGACTATATTGTTTGCTATACATTGTTGCAAACATTTTTTTAAATATAAAGTTGCAAAAAAGTTTATTTACATAGGATAGGATATTGTTCTGAACAATGTGTTCTCTTTCTCTGTTGCGCTCCATTTGATTGATATGCCTGCATACACTTTATGAAGTTAAATGATGACAGCAACAATTAATTGCTCACTTGCTGTTATGAAATACTGTTTTGCTTAATGGAAATAATTATTGCAGTGTATGTAAATGAGTGTCTGTGTGTGTTTCCCCTACATGCATGCATTTTTCACTACATTAAGTGAAATCACTAAGACCCAAAGATATATATATATATTTTTTTTTTTTGTATTTATTATTATTTCTTTTATCAATTATACATTTCATTTAATGGCTATATATTTAATAGCCCTATTCTAGTATGCAAAGTTTCACCCTTATCCCACAGGTTTTATTCCAGTTATTAGTGGCACACAGAGTTTTGTGAGTACCACAGGGCTCTGGTGAGTGGGGTTTAAAGGGGTCATATGATGCGATTTCAATTTTTCCTTTCTGTTTGAAGTGTTACAAGCTCTTGGTGCATAAAGAAGATCTGTAAAGTTGCAAAGACTAAAGTCTCAAATCCAAAGAGATATTCTTTATAAAAGTTAAGAGTCAACCACGCCTACCTAAAATGGCTCGTTCTAACACGCCCCCACATACCTACGTCACTATCTGGGAAGATTTGCATAACGCCGCCCAAATATTCACGCAAAGAAAGAAGGCGTAACCGATATTCTCGCTGTAGTATTGTTGTTGCCGCCGCCATGTCGTGAAGACGCTGTGTGTTTCGTTGTGAAAGCGAAACTACTTGGTTTGGTCTTCCAAACGAGGACGATATCCGCTTC